CCCCAAAATCACCCCCCAAAGGCCCCCGGGGAACCCCAAAATCCTCCCCAAAACCTCCCAGGTGTCCAAACCCCCACCCCCAAAAGGGTCTAGGGGTCCGGGCACCCCAAAATCCTCCCCAGCCCCCCCCCATCCCAGTGTTTGGGTGGGAATTTGGGGCTGAACCCCAACTCTGTCACTAAGGGGACGCCCCAAATCCTGGGATCCCCCCAAAATCGGGGCCCCTGAAACTCCTAGATCCCCGAAATTCCTAAATTCCATTTCCCGATGGATCCCAGCCCCCCCAGGTCCCCCCCATACTGGGCACGTAGATCTCGGCCCGCTGCTCGTCCGGGAGCTCGCTCCAGTTGCGCTTGGCCGTGGCCACCACCGGCTTCTTCACCAGGAACGCGCGCGGCATGGCCGGATCCGCCGGATCGCCGACCCCGGATGATGGATCCCGATGGATCCTGATGGATCCCGATGGATCCTGATCGATCCCGATGGATTCTGATTGATCCTGATGGATCCCGATGGATTCTGATTGATCCTGATGGATCCCGATGGATTCTGATTGACCCTGATGGATCCCGATAGATTCCGATGGATCCTGATGGGTTCTGATGGATCCCAAGTGATCCCGATGGATCCCAGTGGATTCCCGATGGATTCTGATGGATCCCGATGGATTCTGATGGATCCCAATTGATCCTGATAGATCCCAACTGATCCCAATGGGTTCTGATGGATCCCCTGCCCCCAATGGATCCCGGCGGATTCTGACTGATCCCGCTGGATCCCGGCCTGATGGATCCCAATGGATGCGCTGTGGATCCTCAGTCAGGCTCAACGCCGGATCCGCGGTTGAGTTTGATCCCAGATCCCAAATATTTGGTCAATATCCGCAGCCGATCCCAAATCCTTGGGCAGTTCTGGTCCCTGATCCCGGTGGATCCCGGTGCTGGATCCCCGATCCCGCCGGACCCCGGTGCTCCGGAGGATCCCGGATTCGGGCTTGGATCCCGGGGCTTGGAGCGGTTCCGGTGCCCGATCCCGGTCCGGCGTCACCGCGATCCGTTGTCACCGCCCGCTGTCACCGCTGTCACCGGCCCCGAGCCCCGCGCCGCCCCCTCGGCTGCGCTGTCCCGGGGCTGTCCCGGTTGTGCCGTCCCGGTGCTGGTCCCGGCCGTGTTATCCTGGTCCTGGCTCGGTTATCCCGGTCCCGGCTCTGTTATCCTGGTCCTGGCTCGGTTATCCCGGTCCCGGCTGTGTTATCCCGGTCCTGGCTCTGTTATCCCGGTTCTGGCTCGGTTATCCCGGTCCCGGCTCTGTTATCCTGGTCCTGGCTCGGTTATCCCGGTCCCGGCTGTGTTATCCCGGTCCTGGCTCTGTTATCCCGGTTCTGGCTCGGTTATCCCAGTCCCGGCTCTGTTATCCCGATTGTCCCGGTCCTGTCCCGGCTCTGTTATCCTGGTTGTGCTCTCCCGGTCCCGGTGGTGTTGTCCCGGTCTTATCCAGGTCCCGACGGTGCCCTGCCGGTCCTGTCCCGGTCCTGGTCCCGGCAGTGCTATCTCGGTACTGTCCCGGCCCCAGCAGTGCTGTCCCGGTCCCGGCACTGCTATCCCGGTCCTCTCCCGGTACTGTCCCGGCCCCAGCGGCGCTGTCCCGGTCCCGACACTGCTGTCCCGGTGCTGTCCCGGTCCCGGCACTGCTGTCCCGGTGCTGTCCCGCTGCCGTGCCGTGCCGTGCCGTGCCGGTGCCGGCGGTGCCGCCCCGCCGCGCGTCCCCCGTCCCGCCCCGCGGTGCCCCGGACCGGTTCCGCCGGTCGGGCCGGGCCGCGCCGCAGCCGGAGCCGGTCGGGCGGGCGCCGCTTGGGAAATAACGGGGAGCCCCCGCCCCGGCCCGGGGACAGCGGGGACACCGGGACACCGG